TCAGGCTTTCTCCGAGTACTTCGGTTTCCCCTGCCAATCTTCATTCCACCCACTGCTCCACAATCACCATCATCTATCATCTGGGGCCGGTACAATAGGCCAGAAGTGGCCGCAATACAAGGGACTTAGCCCCACCCCACTAGCAATAAAAAAATAATACCCCCACTAAGAAGATAATGGCTTATCAGTTTGCTGTAAAAATAAAGGAATAAAAATTCGTTTGGCCAGGATGGAATCGAAATAAGAACTTGATTAGACCACCACTTACTTCGTCATCACAAGGAGGAGCTCTTTATCCGCAAACCACATGACATTTCATTTGCTCAGACTAATAGCTTTAACCAGGAAAATATGAACATGATTTTCAAAGTCCTAGAGGCAGAATATGCCGGTCACGGTAGCCGAGCGGTCTAAGGCTGTACCGTCTTCGCTCGCTTGGTAACCGGGATCGTGGGTTCGAATCCCACTCATGGCATGGATGTTTAGTTTGTTTGTGTGCGGTTTTCTGTGTTTGTATACAGGTAGAGGCCTTGCGACGAGCTGATCACCCGCCCAAGGAGTCCTACCGAATATGTAAGATGTAGAAAAACCGAAGTGAACGGAGAAGTTCATGGAGGTAGGCCTAGGCCCACTGGGGCTGTAGTGCCAAGGAAAAAAAAAGGCAGAATATGAAACACGCAGTTATTCAGTCGATCGCTTGTTTAAACGGGGCCTACGGTTGTATAAAGCAAAATCCCCTCTAGTGGTTGGCCACAGAGGCAAACCCCAACTGCGGCGCCGAGGTGAATGACGTCACAGTTCTGTATTCATGATTAGAAATAATAGACGGAACTGTAAAGGTTCTCTTTTATGAAATTCTACTGTTTATATACGTATGATGTTAAAATAATCGCAGTAATATAGTTTACTTGTTTAAATTTGTGTCTGTCCGTTGTTTAATCCATTACTTTGGTCCTTCGTCAAAATTTATACTAATGCTTTTTGTCTAGAGAACTTTATACTCATTTTTACTGAAATTAAGATGTATGGAGAAACGTGTTTTCCATATTATGATTTTGCTGGCAGCATCTGATAGCCTGGTAACTATTTTTAATCTTTTATGTATCAGCTTCCTCATTTAGTGGAATCGAAAATAAAATTGGGTTCTGTAATACCACCTTTTCCCGTAAAACCTTCTGCTTCCAACTCCAGCATGCTATGAGCTAAATTACACTTCATTGTTTTCCTGTAAATTTACGTTGTCTAAATGAGGCATTAAATACGCCAGATTTGTAGGACTGGACGGCTGCAATAGAGAAATTGGCTTTATGAGGTCTATCGGGCATATCTTGTTTCAGCTCATCCGCAATTAGAGGACGATTTCGCAGTTGTTAATTCGCTGATTGACCTTCGTTGATTATATTGACTCACAGGCGTTTCTATATAATGACGCGGTGGAAGAAGTTACTATAAAAACATCAGTAATTCTCCTGTCTAGTTATCGCTGATTATAGTATTTCGCTGGATATTAGATGTGCGGCGTATTTCTTGCATTTTGTTAATAGCTTGGAGTAATTTAGAAGCATTTTGAATAAAAATTGCATCATGCCATTGGAAGCCACTCCCAATCTTCGTACTTTTTAATTTCATGGCAGCCGTTAAACGTCTGAGGCGAGAGCAAGACCATAGACATCCGATATTTGGTCCTGGAGTTTCATATGGTGATATATCAGTGACCTGTATGCACCTCAATCACCTCAGTTTTTGCAGCAAACAACACATAGAGACCTCACATAGTCGGTTTGATCATTGGAGGCGATGAGAGTCTTAAAAAGCAGTAAACAGATAACATGAATTTCATTTTGTAACGGGCTGTAATGAGCCAAAAACATTTTGCACAAGATTTTTATAATGTGAGTATTCTTCAGATGAAATCCGTTTTTGGCGCTCCTGGTGAATAAGACAAGTCGAACAAGTTTCATTTGAACAGTCTCTTTTTTTATAAAATCCCTGGTAAGCAGTATTGATTTGAGATCTTATTTGTATTTCCTGAACGATATGTAAGTTTCAGGGAAAATAAATGAGAAATAACATTTTATGGCCCATGTGCTCCACATGCTGATGCATCAGAACTTTGAATTCCCCTCGCTGGCTTCAAATGCAGTGTAGTACTGGATTTATGACCTTTGTTAAGCAGGCAGTATAATTCTTTCACTGGGAATCGTTACTAGTTGAATAACGTCTGTATTTTGTAGTCTGAATACGTTAGTTCGGTCTGTTCCCTCAGTGCATTCATTTAAATGCTGCGATAATATGTCCCATCCACCTTGTGTCACGTTTTATCACGTCAGTCTTCATAAGCATGTCATTTCTTAGCGACGCTTTGTATATTTGCAGTTGACACACCGACCAAAAGGTAATGCCCCCGTGCTTAACTCCCCGTGCTTAACGGCATGAAAGCGTATGGGGGAGTGGAGGTGAGTCGCCAGCTTCACGCCTCCAGACGCTTTAACCCTGGGGAAAGAGCCCCCGGTACCCATTTGATAGGAGGCTGGGTAGACCCCAGAGCCGGTCTGGACGACGTAAAGAACTCCGACCTCTCGATGTCCAGCCCGTAGCCAGTCGCTGTACCGACTGCGCTATCCCAGCTCCTACACCGACCATAAACGAATCATTAAACAAGAACCACCCGGTTGGAGCTTAGGCCTTTTCTTAACGTGAAGGTTTTAGGTTAGAATGTGACATCCGGTAGGTTTCAGGTATTGGAGCGACACAATGTAAAACTCTAGCATTTCTCTAAATAAAATTTACGTATCATTTATAAGCAGAATAAAAGCCCTTCAACGTCCTGCAGTTCCGCATAAAATGATGTATTTTGGTAATATTAACTTCTTTTTTTTTCCCCCTTGGCACGACAGCCCCAGTGGGCCTAGGCCTACCTCCATGAACTTCTCCGTTCACTTCGGTTTTTTTTTTTCTAGATCTTACACATTCGGTAAGACTCCTTGGGCGGGTGATCAGCTCGTCGCAAGGCCTCTACCTGTACACAAACACAGAAAAACGCACACACACAAACTAAACATCCATGCCCTGAGTGGGATTCGAACCCACGATCCCGGTTTCCAAGCGGGCGAAGACAGTACATGCCAGTTTTAACTTCAGCGAGCAAAATTAGGCTACATATCCCTACTGCATAATGTATATTTTATGGTTTTGCTATTTGCATATGTGCATTTGCAAGAGCAAAAATAAGTGCATTTTGGTGAAGTGGCATATTTAATTATCTTTTAAAGTAATTACAGGAAGCTGTCTGAATCATTTTTTAAGTCCATTCACATTGTTCATAAAAATGTTGGAGAGAAGCACAGAAAGAAGGTGTCTAGATTCGGTCGTTATGATTAAGTGATTTCATCAGAATACACGTATCTCACTTTACCATTAGCAGTAACTTTTTTCCGTAAAGGGAGAAAGTAATTAGCCTAGCACAATTACGGGCTATGCGTTTGTGTATTCTTCCAATAAATAGTTCCTTGAGTAAATTGCTGACCTTCATATTAATGTACTTATATAACGACTGCGTGTTAGCCTTTCTGAATAGGCAGAAAGAAATAGACCTACCTGTTTTTACGACGGGGAAATTAATTTAAGGCAGCGGTGATCAGGAGCCTTATTCAAAAGAAAAGATTACATTTATGTACCTCATAAGATCTATTCTTCCTTTGCACAATATAAGACTGGCACCATGTTGCACCGTGTTGATTGCTGGCTGGGGAGGAACGGAATAATGGTCCCTGTGAACCCACGCCAGGAGCAAATGGGAATATTAATCTAAGCCTCCTCGCAGAGTACCCGCACGGGCTAGGAACAAACCAGACAATCCAGAACGTATTTCAGATATGTTGTTGCAATTTACGTAGTACATACATTTTTGTAGATGGTGTATAAACAAACATTGTAAATTAGAAACAGATAAAATCTATCATATTGTGTGACTTTTTGGCCCGAGCATGACCCAGTTGGGATTGTAGGTTGGATTGATTAGCATTTTTAAAATTCTGTGATATTTAAGGCAGTTTACTTATTATATTTGATGTTTTGCCGTCATTTCTAGTTGACTTATTACTACTCTAGGGCCTTAAGATTTATAAGCCATGATCTATATAGACTGTAATGAACTGAGGCTGGAAGAAACAGTTTTGCTGTATATGCACGGAACAAGTTTGATTGTGGATGACAAAGTGTATCTCCGAAACACCTTGAAGTTTGAAAGCACCTTACTTACAGGCATTAAAAGACGAATGTTTTTAAATTTGTATTTATAAATGTGGCCCTGGTTCGCCCGTTTCACCAGTTGTATCGAAAACCTGACCACGATATTTCACTATGTGACGAATCGTTGACCTGCCGACAGATGTCTTTCTGCAGACGAGTATGTGTTGTGTCACCGACACAACAAGAATAAGATCCGTGACCTTGACCTCTGTCATGCTGAATGAAATCGTAATTGAGCAGTTGCCTCATAGTACAGTGTCGGCGCATCTTTACATACTTAATACGAAAATTTAGAGTTGAAACTGCTTTATTTTTGTGGATATTTTCCTCTCGCAATTGCTTCTCCTATAAATGAGGCAGTCTCCATAGTTCTGTTACCTGTTGGATTAGTCCTCCGGGAAGGACTTCAAACCGCGGGTCCCGTGTCGTAGATTTACGACACGTAAAAGATCCTCATGTCTCTAGGAGACCTCTGAGCAAAATTAGGCAACAGTTTCCCTCCCAAGTAGTTTCCAATGCCTCTGGTAGATGGGGGAANACAAGTTCGCTCGCATTTTGGAGGAACGTGCTGCTCCCATCCTCACTGTCGAAGAGTAAGCAGAACAAGTAAACAGCATGAAGCAGGCGACGAGCGGATGAACCCAGATAATGGAGGCAGTACGTTCCTCCGAAACATCGGTGAACTTCTACATATATGAGAAGGTGGTACTCGTTATGTTATTTATTTACAAATGTGTATTTGTGTGCAGGTTCCTCTAGCGACCCGAAGGGAAAAAGCTGGCTTGGGATCATCGTCTGCAGAACTTCCAGCTGTCACAGACCATCCGGCATCTGAACGGAAGAAGGCTCTATGGCGCAAGACGCAGAAACGTTACCAGGAAATATCTTAATAACTACAGGAACAAGAGCAAAAACTCAACGCTGTTTTACTTTAAATGTCTATTAATTATGGCATCTGAAAGTCATCATTAAAATATGTGTAAATTTTATAAATGTAATATGCTTTACAACCAAGAAAAGGCATTTTTTTGCCCATTCTGCCTCGTATATGGGGCTGTAAATAAAAATGAGTTTCCAGAAATAAATAGCATTGTGTAATGGGGTTGTATATGACTGCATACAAAGAAGGCCTCAAGCAAGCGCTGTTTCATCGTCGTCACTGGCCCCGTCTGCAAATGAATTGTGTTCTCATTTGTGACACGAAGAGGTATAGTCTACCCTTAGTTCAGCGTGAATAGAAGTCCTGACATTACAGGCACTGCATGTACTCAGTCTTCTTCAGTGTCTACTGAAGTAATGGTTAGAATCCTACATTTAAATGTGTTCTGCTTAGCGTCTTCAGCTTCCCTGGCACTTTTTCATTAATATTATTTATTTATTTATTTATATTATTTTGATTTTCCCGTTCATCCATTTTGTCTTACTTTCCTCCTAATTTTACCTTTTAATTAGACGATGTTAATTTCACAATTATTTCCCGTTTGCGTGATGTCGGTTTTGTCACTTGAGCAACTTTCAGGATGGATCCATCATGTTCGGGAGATGGGTTTACGAAGCTCGTTGATGCTTCTGCTGGTGCGGTTGCGTTTAGAATCCATATACGTCTATATTTGCAGTTAACTCCCTATCTAAGAAATCTGTAGGGGAAATTTTTTTCTTACACTAAATAGTGGTTGTGCATAAATTACATCTAAATACTGTATTGGTGTGAAAATATCCAAATAAACTTATATACAGTTAAGCACAATCACTGGCCGCGCCATAGCTCAAGCGGTTAGTCGCTGGTTTCCCGCCGCGGCGGCCCGGGTTCGATCCCGGGTCTGGTCAAGTGGGATTTGTGGTGGACAAAGTGGCGCTGGGGCAGGTTTTCTCCGAGTACTTCGGGTTCCCCTGCGAATCTTAATTCCACCAATTGCTCCACAGTCACCCTCACCTATCATCTGGGGCTGGTACAATAGGCCAGAAGTGGCCGCAGTACAAGGGACTTAGTCCCACCCCAATAGCAATAAAAAAAATAAGCACCATCACATAAAATAAAACGAAGTTATGGTAATTTCAATTTTATTCTTCATTAGTTTTCAGCCATCTGTAAGGAAGAAAATACTGCAATGCAAATCGAAATTTGTTGAATTTACAGACGTATCACACAATAGATGTATATTAAGCATACACACCTAAAAGGAAGTTACTTTTTGAAGTCTTACAGCAAAGTTCTCAGCCTAGTTTTTGAACTGTGGAAAGCATTTAATAACACCCTGTGCAGGGAAGTCATTTTCATCGAAGTTGGCCCGTCAACAGTGAAAGGCGTGAAGTGTCTTCTCACAACTTCAAATGCCCATCTCTGAAAGTAGGAACTGGCTCTTCCTCGTTCTCCTCTCCTCTTGTTACGTAACCATCACACTGGAAGAACTCTTCGCAGTTAGTACTGGCACAAGGTGCAACCCCTAATTTCAGCATCTGTTGTCATTTCGTCATTCTAAACACCCATAACATTAGCTTATAGAATATATATTCTGATTGCTGATTAAACAAAAAAAATCGTCATTGTCACCTCACTTAAACCCGGTTTTCTGGAAGGAGTCGGCTATTGTTTTGACTTAAACTGTATTCCAAGCAGCTGTACGTCGTTTGCAGGATATTTAGCTTTATTTCCTGGCCCTTCTCCATGTACTACAGCCTTCTTAGTCAAGTCAAATGGCTGTAGTTCGGTGGTCCGTATGTGGAAATACGCCACTTCAGTATTATGTAGGAAGGTTATATCTGAAGAGTGGGCACAACAGAGTCTTCAGTGCAGCTTCGTGGTTCAAAACCGAAACACCTCCGCATTCCATGTCTTTTTTACGAACTAAACGACAGGTTTCGGGCACACAGGGGTCGTGATGCTGTCCTTGATTTTCATTATGCACTGTAGCGAAGATGGTGTCAGTTTAAATGTTCGTGTCAATCCACTTCCGGGCGTTAGGATTTTCTTTCACTTCCATTTTCGATAATTGTAAGCCTCTTCCTCATCGTAGACAACGCAACGATCAATAAACAAAACAAATACTATTGACAAGATTGAATATGCACAGCGTCACTCGTCAAAGATTATTGTTGAGAGAGACGATTGGCGGTGAAGAGAAGATGCAAATATCGATTGTCGTTTCAAGTACGATCACACAAAATCGACGCATGAAGACCGAACATTTCCTACACTAAATTTGGGTGATTTACTAAATCGAATTTCACATATACTCGGAACAATATACATTGTTTATGTGGAACTTCAGCTGAAAATAATCACGAAATTTCGTCAAATGCGGGGACACTATATCGGGATAGCGCTGCTTGTGGTTTGATAAGAGACATCATTTCGCAAGGAGGAGCATTTTAGATGATCTGTCTTCTTGTGATGTGAGGATGGGACCAAATTGAATGCCAGTGGGAGGAACACAGTCATATCAAGTGGCCAGATGCTTGTTCTGTGAAATCTATCACGTATTTTATACAGTTAACATCGTAGATGCATTCAAATATGCCGTCCCAAATAACGGCATTATCTGCAAATTGGTTACAATGTGTCAGGTATTAGGTCATATCCATTTCCTGATTTCATCTATGTAATGCTCGCTGAGTGGCTTCTGGGACCAGTATCCAAAGACTAAGGGATGCATACATTGGAGCTGAAACCATAGCAAAGTGCCCTTTGATATCTGTCACCGAGCTTTAGTGTATGATACATGGCTCTCCCGTAAAATCAAACTGGATACTTTTTCAGTGCTCCCGAAAATTTTATGAATTTCTTGAACCATGGCAAAGGAGTTCCATGTGAATGCACTCAGTCTCATGAACTGGAGGTCAAGGCCATGTAGCCACCTGCATTCTGTTAGGAAAATCCACATGGGAGGCATCATAGGTCCCTGGCAGAGAAACAAGTAAAAATGGTAACAACCCGATTGTACTGACTTGAGTGTCACTTGTCATTGTCCTCTCAAAGATAAGAAAGTTCGTTTGGATATCAGCAAGGGCAAGACTGTCCTGACAGGAGTTTTCAGGTTTTTTGTAAGTCTCTCCAGGCAAGTGGCAGAATATTACCTTAAATTGGATCACAGCAGTTTCCTTCCTCATTTTTTTCCAATTGACCATCACCCAATCATTTGACGCTGTGTAGTCCAAGTTACTTGCAGTATCATTAAGTAAAGTACAAGGAAATAAAATAAATTTGCTGTTTGGATTCATGCTGACACCAGTTAATTTACATTGTAGTTTCTGTTTGGAGTTGTATTCTTCTGCGTCTTCATCCAATATGAGAAATTTTGATACAGCATTTGATTTATTTCATTCTGGTGTGTCACACTAACAATATTATAAAAGATAAAACAGCACTGTGACTGTTGAAGTTTTACTACTTCATTTCTTAACACCCTTACATGTTTCGGTACCTATAGACCATCATCAGAGGGACATCGATACTCTTTGGAAACCACTATTACAATGGGTGTTCTGAATGTTAAAATATATACACATACAATGTTTGTAATGCACAGTATATACAAAATCCAAAGTTTTCACAACTACAGCGGTTGTCTTGGTATATTAAAGTTTTTTAAAACTTTTGTTATTTAAATTATTTGGTTTATAAATTTTAACTTAAATAACAAAAGTTTTAAAAAACTTTAATATACCAAGACAACCGCTGTGGTTGTGAAAACTTTGGATTTTGTATATATTGTGCATTACAAACATTGTATGTGTATATATTTTAACATTCAGAACACCCATTGTAATGGTGGTTTCCAAAGAGTATCGATGTCCCTCTGATGATGGTCTACAGGGACCGAAACATGTAAGGGTGTTAAGAATTGAAGTAGTAAAACTTCAGCAGTCACACTGGTCGGTGTTGTTTTATCTTTTATAATTTGATACAGCAACTTCATTGAAAGCTACAGTTCAGGCTGCGGAGGTCACTTCTGGTATCCAGCTAAAAAATCTCTGGCTATCATCTCCTGAAGCTACTTATCCGGCCATCATTTCGCCATTTCTTCGGTTTCATTAAACATACAGCCACAGCCATTTCACACCACTAACTAGCAACTTATATGCTACTTAGTTCTTTTCTAGAACATCCCAAAAAATATGTTATGTTTACATTAAATATGGAACTAATTCTTTACATGTCTGTTAGTGAAAATGTTCCTGTTTTTTTCCACAGTGTAATTAAAGTTGAGTTTGGACTGTAATCCCCCCCAATATTGTTTCACAACTTAGGAAGTTCATGCTATTTGAAACTTCTTTCCTCAGTTAAATACAATAGAAATAGTTCCTTCGATTGAGTCTTGAAACCAGCTTTGCCAGTTCATTTTTTGATCGTAATTACAGATCATTTGTCAAGCAAAATTACACAATAAGAAATAAAGTTTGCAGGTGCAGTCGGCTAGAGCGTTGTATTGAGCAGGGTGGGGTAGAATTGTCCCTATTCTGCTTTGACGGTAGTGTTTCAGATTATAGGAGACTCTGTCCTAAAGTGACATACCACAGGAAAGATGTAGTTTAATTATTATACCATGTCGTGTTACATAAATTACAAACATACTTCATGAAAGAACTTTCATACTTTTATGTTTGAAATTTTACATTTGAATACTTGCACGGTGTTTTGAGGGCATTAAAGGAATATGTCACCATGTAGTTTGTTAATATTAAGTGTGGGAAGAATGGCACATTTTATCTTTGTTTGCAGTTGTCACATGTAAATATCTTTTTGTCCTAAGAAGTTCGGCACATTCATCGTGTACCCATAAAGAATAATTATAGCACTTATTCCAGACTTACGTGTGGTTTCATGAGCTGAAAATATTGCTATATGGACTTAGCATGTTATCTTTATTGTTTGCACCGTTGTAGCATATGATCTTCATGCAAGCTTTTTTACTCCACCCACTTTATTGCACCATACTGCTCGTGGATTAGTGATTAAGCCATCGTGCTTAATTTTCTTTGCCTGAAATGTGTTTTAAACACACCCAAAGCCTGAACCTAGTCACCAGTTGCTCTAAAGTAAGATACGAATTGCTGTAACTCACATTGAGTTATAAGTTAAAGTTGCATTGTGGATACTC